CCAGCCCTTCTGTCAGACTTGAGCACACAAATCTCATAAACATCTGGCGAGGATTTGCTGGTTTTTCACACGGTCGTCAGCGCAAACACGCCTGTGTGACAAAACAAAATCACCCAACAACCGGGCACATCTAAACATGGGCGGGCATTTCGGCTTGTTTGTATTTGTGGTGATGTCGGTGAAAACAAGGACCAGGAAAAAATGAACGATACGGTTAAAGAGGAAATATTTCTAATTTAAAAGCAAAAGGGGGCAGTGACTTTGGCTTAGGCATTGTGAACACGTTTTGTAAATCCAAGATACCTGGCTCGATTCCAGCTGCAGACGTTTTGGAAACAGATCGGTTTGCGCTGATTTGACAGTGGTATCGGTAGCAGAATGTTGAGAGACAGTGACAGACAACACAGAACGGGAAATTGTCCAGTGAAACTAAACAGCCCCTGCTCCCTTTTAAAAAAAGTCTTTCAATACCAAACAATGCAGCATAGATTTCTTTGTCATTGATAGGACAGTTTGCTGTTTATTTGTCCTGTTAATCACATGCACGGGTCATATCAACCCTAAGTATCTCAATTATTAGTTGACATTCTCCTGTTGCACAGTTTCTGTGTTTAACTCAGGCAGACACATTATTTATTGATTTGCAACTCAGCTTTGTGAAAAAAAAGAGTTAAAGAAATAACTCATTGGTACTAAACTAGTTAAACAACACAAAACCCCCCCCCCCCCCCCCCCCCCCCCCCCCACCCGTTTCCCTACAGCAAGACTAAACTGAATGGGCCTGACTTTGTCCCATAGTGACCAGTGCCACGTGACTTGTCCCAGTTCCCAGTTCTATAGTATTCATTTTATGAGACAGGGTCATGTTATCAAGAAGAAATGAGAATCAAGGTTTGAACACTTGTACCATAGAACTTTGAGGTCGAGATTTGAACACAGTCCCGTAGTATTTTAAGGCGAGTCCGCTGTCCACTGCGTTGTCTCAGATTCTCGAAAAAAAGGAAAGCATTAAAAAAATTCAGTATGTTAGACATATTTGAAGCATACGGAAGTTATTACTGCTCGGCCGACATTGTTCCTATGTTGAGAAACCCAAGGACACGCCAGCCACCGGGGCTACGCTGGCAAGGATCTCTGGAATATGATGGAAGAAGAAACAAACTTGAAGCCACGCTGGCAAGGATCTCTGAGATATGATGGAAGAAGAAACAAACTTGAAGCCACGCTGGCAAGGATCTCTGGGATATGATGGAAGAAGAAACGAACTTGAAGCAACGCTGGCAAGGATCTCTGGGATATGATGGAAGAAGAAACGAGCTTGAAGCCACGCTGATCTG